TTTTTTTTTTTTTTTTTTTTTTTTGGTACCGGGGATTGAACTTGGGTCCTTGCGCTTGCAAGGCAGGCCACCGAACCGCTGAGCTAAATCCCTGGCCCTGCTATTTCTATTTTAAGCAGCTCATCAATTTTTCATTGACCTAGTAGTTACTGTCCATTCATCTAACATTCATGGAACATCGTGGTAGAAACTAATTCCAAAAATGAAAATATAAAACAAGATCAAAAAGAAAAGAAAGACTAATTCCTAGCAATAATGGGATTGGCAGAGGAATAACAGCACCCAATGATAATGTCAATTATGGTGCTCTTTACAGTACATTTTAGGTATCAATTTATTTGAAATATTTTTTATTATTAATTCAGTGCTGAACCCAGGGCCTTGTGTGTGCTTGGCAAGCACTCTACCACCGGACTACAACCTCAACTCCTTTGAATTCTTTCAGAACAGTCTTATTTAAGAAGTGGTAGAAGTGTTGCCTAACTATAAAACTATCTTCCCATTGACTTTAATATTCTTTAAATGATTTTTCTAAATGTTCACCTATCTTACATGCATTAGTTAATTACATTTTATGGGCATATAACAAATCTCATTTATTTAGACTCCCAACTAATTTGAACTTTGATGAAAACAAAACTTGTACTATTGGCAGCTCCTCCTTCTGAGAAGCTCGCTATCTCTTAGCCACAGTGCACCCTCTATGCTCCACCCAAGCCAGAGCCCAGAGCCCCACACTTCTCCCTGTCTAACCCTCCACACCCACCAGGCACTGAGGCTTGCTCAGCCTTCTCAGTGTCTCCCTGTCTGCATTCCCTCTACGGCTACCCGGGGACAGCTCCCCATTTCCCACCTCCACCGTGCCGACTCCTCGTAAAGGTCCTGCTCCCAGCTCCAAGCTGCTGCATGAATGTTCTCAATAAGAAAACCCGTCCCACTGCTGTCCAGCTATGCCTTTGGGAATCCTTCCCTGCCTTTTGACAAATGTGTATCTCTCAGCAGGGAACACAAAGCCTTCTATGATCCTTCACTGGTGACTGTTACAGCATCCTATTTCTTCCCTGTCCTCGGCCACAATACATGAGGACGCTCACAGGGATGTGGCTGCCTCAGGACCGCAAGCCTACATTTAAACCCTGCCTCTTCCACCAAATTCCCTGGGAAATGTGGGCTCCTCTTTCTGGGCTGCACTCCAGTGTTCAGTCCTCTTTGGGTCCTGTGTACCTGGCCTCCCCCAGCAAAGGTCCCAGCCCACTGCACCTGTCGGTCCCCAGCACCTCACACTGTGGCACTGAAGCCATCATGGTGTTTTGTCTCATTTTGCTTCGGGTTTTCTCCCTGTCCTAAACTCCGCGCTTCACTTGGCCAAGAACCATTAAATTTGTATTCCTGAGCCAAACACAGTTCCCAACATGTAGAAGATGTTTAAAAATCATTTGTTGGGTTGGCGATTTAGTTCAGTGGTTCTGCTACCTGCTTTGCAAATGTAAGTTCCTGAGTTCAATCCCCGGTATCAAAAAAAAAAAAAAATCATTTCTTAAATGAATCAAAACCCAAGCAAAAATGGTTTTAATGTTCTGCTTGCGAAAAGGAGGCAAATATCATAAAATTGGTAGCATAGATTCAGGTTATAAATGGTTAAAGTCCTCTGGAAAGTAAGATGATTTCCACAAAAGTTTACACACACACACACACACACACACACACACACACACACACATCATCACCACCACCACCACCACCACAGGATTAGTTTGAAATGCATCCACTCACAAAACAAACTGACACTCATTGTAAAGAGTCTGAATACTGTTACTGATTTTTCCAAAATGTCTCCTATGAAGCTTAACATATTTTTGCTGCTTTCAGACTCTCTGGATGTCCGTACGATGTGGTATGTGACTCCCCCAAGTAGTGCAATGAGGAACTGTTGTGGGTGCTCAGCAATCTTTCTTACTGTACAGCTCACAAGTAACTGTATCCAAATATTACCTCGTGACTTAAAATAATTCTCAAAATAATACAGGGTGAAAAGAAGCTGTGCTCCAGAGTTTGTTTATAACTAAAATCGATTCATCAGAGTGATTTTGTGATTAAAAAAAATAGATAAGTGGTACAAAATGCAGAGTTGTAAAGCAAGCCGTTATCCCATTCACACAAGAGAGTAAAGGCTCTGACTTCATAGAGTGAGGGTGTCAAATAGTTCAAAAGGGTCAGGAGACGGAAAGCCTGGAAAACGAGATTTATTGAAGGTAACAGAGTGATGGCTGGTTCAATAAGGCCCCTTAAGCACACAAAGTGACCATGCTCAAAATAACGAGTGTCTTCCTGGTAAAAGCATGAAAAAATAGAAATAAACTATATGAACACTTATAAAGTGCTAGATAACTTAAGTCACTCTGCTGGGTGTGGTGCTCCTGTAATTCCAGCAGTCGGAGGATCAGGAAGGACGGCCACGGTGTGAGGCCAGCCTACCCTACATAGTGAGTTCAAGGCCAGCCTGGATCACATAGCAAGACCTTATCTCAAAACAAAACAGTTATAACTCTGCATTAATTAAGTTGTATTTCCTGACAGGAAAACAGGCGCAGCTGACTAAAACTTCCAAAAACTTTCGGCTCCACTTCTACACATTAAGAGCTTGAATATCATCATTCAAATTCTTAAAACAAATCACACTTTTCCTGATTTGAAAGTCACATGACAAACTTATAAATAATACCTGGATCACAGAGAATTTAAAAAAATATTTGAATTAAATAAAAATGAAAAAATACATCATCAACATTTGTAGAGCATAGTGAGTGAGGGATAGAGGGAAATTTGCAGCTTTAAACGAACATATTAGAAAAGAAGTAAGACGTATGTATACTCAAGCACTTAAGTTCCCACCTTAGAAAACTAGAGAAAGAACAATTGAAGTCCAAAGCAAACAGAAAAGAAATAAAGTTACAGCTGAAATAAATGAAATTGAAAACATGAAATCAATAGAGAAAGCTGCCCAAACCAAAAATTTCTTCTCCAAAAATATCAATGAAATCAGCAAAGTTCTAGTTAAGGCTAACAGGGAAGGGGACACACACTCTTAGGAGTGAGAGAAAGGCCACCGCCACTGATGCCATGGCATACAAGGACAGCGATGGTACACAAGGGGCACACATTCGTGGGTGTGGTAACAGGTGAAATGGATCCATTCCTTTGTCAAAACTGATACAAAAAGTACATAACATGGATCGGTCTGTATCTACAAAATTAAATACATAACTAATAACCTCGAACAAAAAAAAGAGAGTACCAGACCCAGATGGTTTTACAGATTTACGAAACATTTAAAAGAAACCATTTCTCTACAACTTCTTCTACAAACTAGACATAGAAAGAATAATCCTCTTTCTATGAGGCCAATATTAGAACTGGATACGACTTTATAAAGGAAGAAACTACAGACTAATATTTCTCATGAATATAGGTGCAAAAATCCTCAAAAAATATGGGTTTGGTGATTTTTTTTAGATACAGTATCAAAAGCACAACCCATGCAAGAAAAAAAAGGATTAGTTGAATTTTGTTAAAATTAACACTTTTGCTCTGTGAAAAACACGGTTAAGAGAACGGAAAGACACCCCACTGGTGAGGAGAAAATCGTGTCTGATAAAAGACCTGCATCCAACACACACAGAACTCCTAAAACTAAATAATTAAAAGTGGGCGACAATCTGAACAAACCTCTCACCAACTAAACACAGTCCCGCAGACTGGGTATCACACCTGTGAGAGCTGCAGGTGACAACGGCCGCCGAGGCCCCACCGCACACCTGTGAGAGTGGCCGGCGGCTAACACCGGGCTGAGCCCGCTGCTGGCCGGGGACAAAGCGAGAGCTCTGCAGACACCAGGGAGGTTCGGCCGTCTTCACGCGGAGAAGTCACACCCCCCAGTGTGACGTGACGCGGGACTGTAATCCTTCCCCATTTATTTGTCATTCGATACACAGACGCATTTAGTGCATTATACTTTTTTAATTCTTCATCAAGTACTAACCAAAGTATTTCACATATTTTACTGAGTCCTTTTATTTTTAAATTGGGAATGACTTTATTTTCAAAGGGGAAACATTATGGAATATTTTGATAATCTATGAAAAGAAAAGGTGCTGTAAATATTATTTTACGTACTTGAGAGCAAAGCAATTTCAAACAATTTGCAACTAAAACCTAATCGTAAGTACATGTATGATAACATTCGATGAATGACTACCTAGATGCCTTTGTAACAACAGACTGCCTGTCTTCCGCTGGAGTTTCTATCAAGCGTAATTCTCTGAAAGACAAGCCTTGACTAGATGCGCATGATTTGTCTTGAAAGTACTAAATAAATCATCTCTAATTGAGATTGTGTTTACAATTCAGAAAACTTTTTGTGAACATTTGTAAGCAAGTCTGTTTTTATGTTTTTTTTTTGCCTAAAATATTTTATTAATGAAAGCACAAAATGTTTGACAGGGGCTAAGAATTAAACAGCAAGTACTAGAAGAAGATACAAGCTGCTTAAACTGTAGCTGGAATGGTATTATGAATCCATTTCTTGCTTTAAAAAGGCTCTGGTTAATTTATGGAGCTAAAGAGTCAAAAATAATTAGGCATGAGATGACGTAGCAACTTTCATTTTTGTTGATTTTAGAGCACCAAATGTTTAAACTCTTTTTCATATGCAAAACATACTTGTTAAATTGGTTGTTATAAATCTTCCTTGCTGGAAACAAAATGAACGAGATAATAATGAAATACGAAAACGCAAAGTACCTACACTCAAGGTCTTTGGCAAATAACTATCTCATAAAAAGGAATTAAGTCAACAGACTACTGTTGCCCAATATAAGTGGTACTGTTAAAAACATGAAGATAGTACAACAATAACAAGTCCACATCAATGAAAGGCCAAGTTGTGCAACTGTTAAACAGGGCCTTCCTGTTCCCAGCCCAGACAAATACGGAGATAATTGTAAGCTACTTCGTTTTATTCTTGTTATTTAAAGTGCTTATGTGTGCAGCCTATTTTCTTTTGAGGTCAGATATGACTTAGAATTAAGGAAAAGTCATTCAAGCATTTTGATAGCAATATTTTGTAGCACTTTACATGAGATGCTTTTAAAGCCTAAGATCTTAATAACCCTACATATATCCGTTCGATATTTGTTTACATAATTGATGTCAGTTTACCTTGTGTAACAGTCAAATGACACTTGTCAGTGATAAGAATCGGAACTGTTTTTATGTATTTTCATCCGAGAAGTCAGATGTGTACCCACTGAAAAACATAAAGGTGAGAAAAAGTAATTTTTAACTCACACAAAATTTATTCGCTGGAAAATTAAACTGCCATTAAAATCTCCTGGGAGTAGTAGTTTGAACATTTTTTACATTGTTTACACAGAGGTCAACGATTTCTTTATGTAATACAATTATACAAAAGGAGAAAGGCACCGAGACAATCGGTGCATAGGTCATAAAAAAGGAGGAATGAGAGTAAAATGCAGCACAGAGCACATTTTCAATTACATGAAAACAATCAGATATATGCTCATTCTATAAAATGGACTGCTTCACACGCTTGCCTGTCCATATTTCTGACCAAACAGGAAAATTAGTATGTGACAATAGCACAACACTGTGGTAAGCACAGACGCTCGTGTGTACAGTAAGGTCCATTAATGTGCTGCAGACAGTTCAAGACCAGAGCGATGTACTTTGTCAAGTTGTGTGATAGAATTTTGCTCACAGAGCATTCAAACCTCATCACACTGTTATATCCATTATTAGAAAAATAAGTAGGAAAGCTCTGTAGAAACTATTCTATTAAGGAAGCTTCTTGCCTCAGAAAAATGAAAGAAGTAGGAAGGGGTGAGGGAAGAGGAGGGAGGGAGAAGACAGAGTAAGGAAATGATGAATAAAAGATTCCACTAATTGAGTTTTCCATAAAAATTACATTATTTTGAGAAATAAAGCACAATGCAAGAGTACTGAGCAGTAATGAGCCTCTTGAGTTTTAGAAAAAGAACAGATCCCAACATTTTCAAGACTCATTTAATAACTATTCTTCATAATGTAACTGAAAAGTAATACGTACGTTCTTATTTCAAAATTCTAGCAAAATCTAGCCAAAACGTGGCTGTCATTTTACGTCAGTTTTAAAGATTCCTCAAAACCATTACCACTATATTATGTTCATCACAAAAGTAAAGGTTGTTTTATTTTAATGTTAAGCAGAAACATAATTGAGTAATTTTTAAATGCAAGTCACTACTAGAGTTTTTCTCTTGGTAAACTTAAAGTTATATATGTGATATCAAAACGCCCTTGGAACTATCACCATTCATTTCTAGCTGTGCTTCAAATAATTGTTCAAATACACTTAAATGCTTAAAGAAAGCCAATTTATGAGCCAAAGCTACCCTGGTCTCTCTCAAACAACTCAGCTATTTTGACAGTAAATTGTGGATTTTCTCAGTATTTATCTGAAAGAGACTGCTCAAAATAAAACACCCCCAGGACTCTATGGCATTTGTTTCAGTTTTCTGTGTTTTGAAATTATCTGTTTAAAGCAACATAGGAAATTGTAAAAATTAGAGGTTTTAAACCCCTTCTCACAAAATCTGAAATAAGAGAATTTGCCGGCAGGAGGGAGAGGGAAAGGGGCCCTGAGGCTCAGGACTCAGTTCTGCATTGTGTAAGGCCCGGCCCACGTCAGGGCTCAGCACCAGGCGTTGCGATGGGCCTTTCTCCAGGGCTTCTCTGCTCCGGTCAGTACAGGTTCTGAGCAGGAGTGGGGGGGTGCCCGGAGGAGGTAAGCGGTTTGGAGAGCACGGGAGGCAGCTGACAAGGGGCGACCCTGATGAGGTCACACGTGTGCACGGCAAGGAGACAATCCCACCCCGAGACAGGGAAAAGTCCTCCTGGTCCAACAAAAATCACAAGGAACCATTTACTTTAGGGAAATGAAAAGGAGTGACATCTGAACATACATGTTTAAAATCGACAAATCAGGATACAGTTTTGGAAAGTTATTTTTCAGTAATACAATGGAATATCAGTGTCCTCACTTTGCATCCATTCTAAACACTGGCAGCTGAAAGATCTCGTGTTATAGAAGTCAACAGAAAGGGTAAGGCTTTTCTCGTTAAAGTAGCCTTGAATACCTATAAGACAAACTCAAATACCAGATGATACCAAACTCTGTTTGCTGATGGTCAGAATAAGAAAGCAAGGCCCTAAAATAGCCAGTGTAAGATGGAGATTATCAAGCTGACCAGGAAATCATTCGAACATCGTGGACAGCTACTGCCACAGCAGTGACTGTTCTCATGATCACTGAGAAGTTCGGATGCTCCACAAGGTTGAAATTCTCTAACAAAACTATGCCCTGCTTTTTGGTGGACCGAGTGCGCGTCCCTCTGTGCCCCAGCCGATATAATTAATGCTCAGGTTCAGTGCGCCGTGAAGACACAGCCTCATGGCATCTGCAGTGACCGTCTGCTCTCCCCTCACCCTCTGAGGCTGCCTGTCCGTCCTCATACTGTCCGATCCATGTGATTAAGGGACAAGGGTCAAAGCATCTCTCGTGCATAGGTCCTCCTCACCCAGGGCCGTGGGTGTGTGTGTAGGACTTAGAGGGAAAAGGCAGGGAGGAAGAAAGAAACAAACACTACTTAAGAAAAGGTGCAGACCAGCCTAGAGAAGAAAACATCCATTTTTATAATTAGCCGATTATCCTAGCCTGTCGAGCTCTATCGCTTTAAGATGTTAATCTAAGCCTAACCACGACTAGATGAAGAACTGGTACATCAGCAGTCACACAGCAGCCTGGGCCCATAGCAGTGTAACCTCAAAATCCCAGGTAAACTCACTCTCAGCGCGCTTACTATAGGGCTTTTGAACTGTCATGCAGAGTATCCTGTTAGGGACAGAGCTGTGGCCACACTGAGATGAGGGAAACAGAATGCGCTCACCCACAGCATTTACTTCCAGAGGAACAGGGGCTACTGTACCAAGTTGCTGTTGGAAAGAAAAACCCTCAGGAAGAACAAGGCAATAAGAACACAGAGAACAGAGCAGAAGAGGTAAAACTACCGCTGTCCTAGTTAAGAGTCCAGGCCAAGGCTGGTCTCATGGTGTGACACGCGGGACACGGCTCGAGAGCGGGGGAGAAGCGGAACAAGGAGCAGCACCGCCTGCCACCGCCACGGCACGCGTGCCACAGGCCAGGCTGATCCACTTATAGTCACGACAAACACCTCCTCGACTCTTAGCCTCGTATCTACCACTGGAAGGACAGTCTATTCTAGCGGGAAGTATATGAACAGATGAAAGAAATGTTCTAGGATCATAAAAGCAATATATAATATATTTGCTACACCAAGGAACATTTTGAAAAAGTTACCTTGACTGTAAATGGACAGGCGCTCATCTTCAGGTTTCCACTACATTGTTTTTCTCATTTAACTGTTTATTCAATGAAAGTATGCATAAAAACTAACAAATCTGAGAACTCGACTATACATATAATAAGATGATGGGATATTCGGTTCTTAACATTTGTACACAGTTTAGCTGTAACTACTCTCCCTCCCCTCTCTTTTCCCTTTGATCCTTACTCTGGCTCCTATTTTATCTTGTAAGACCGTTCTCTTATTGGCTTCAGGGAATATTAAATATAAAGCTTTTACTGCTTTCAGGCCACTGGAGAAAGTTTCAGGATGTGAAAGAAAGAACAAATGAACAAACGAAAGAAAGAAAAACTGGCCAGGAGATTTAGCTCAGTGGTTCCGCCACCTGCCTTGCAAGCGAAAGGATCCAAGTTCAATTCCCCCGTACCAACAACAACAAAACAAAACAAAAAACTGGAGAATACAGTTTTTCCCCAAATGGCAATTAGGTTTTTTACTTTTTAGGGAGGTGGGGATCAAACCCAGGGTCTCGTGCATGCTAGGCAAGAGCTCTACCACTGAGTTTCACTCCTAGCTCTTGAAATTAGATTTTTTGGTCCTGATTTCCCTTTGCCATTTTTGATGCTTGAGTAAATGTCACCAGTAAACTTTTAGTACTGACTTTTAAAGTCATTAAAGAAGTTACATCTTCTGTTTAACTTTTCCACTACATTTCCTTTTAAGGAAGCATGAGAAAATGATCGCACCTCTGACCTTTGTCTTTATCGACATCACACGTAAAGGAAACTGCTTCTATGTCCAGAACTCTGCCCGTTTCTCTCAGGCAGGGTTTCCTGAGCCGGGGAGCCTAACAAAATCTAGATTCTTGGTCTTCCCCCCTGACCAAATGGAATCACTGTAGGTGGAGTTTTGGAATACAAATTAACCACTCAAGATAATTCTTAAACTTACCCTTCTTTGGGAACTACTATTTCATATTTTGTCCTGGAGTTGGATGGGAGTCGAAGCCATTTTCATTCGTTAGGTCCCAAGCCAGGTGTTATTTCTCTGGAAGATTTTTCTGAATTCCATGCTTTACTCTTCTAATGAACCCAACAGTGCTCTGTGCACACTTCTGTCTCCACACTACTCTGCCTCCTCCCTGCCTAGGGCACAGCCCCACAAGGGCAAAGATTTCAACCACTTTAGCATCTCCAATCTGCAGTCCTGAACAACCCATGGTGCTAGACGGCGCTCTTATAAATCTGTATTAAATGAAGGAAAAGAAATCCATGCAGAAAACAGATTCATTCACAGTGGAACTTACACAACAGGGTTACAGATTTCTTCCGTAAAGACTTTCGTTCAATTCAATGTTGTGGGCTTCCTGTGAGCAGCGCAGCAGGGCACAGACAGAGGGGTGGGGCACTGCCGCACAGGGGAAAGAGCTTTATGTGGTCAACCTGGCTGCAATTCCTACCAAAGCTCAGTGAGCCCAACAGAAGAGCCCTGAGTTGTAGCCAGCTCCCTCCTCGATACTGGCGGGGTGCAGCGTGGTGCAGGAGACACAGCTGTCCACTTCACAGGGCAGATGGCCAGGGCAGCTGAAAGGCCCTGTGTTCCCCAAACCAATCAAAAAGCAGAATGGGGCAAATGACCTCCAAATTTTTTAAAAGTAAAAATCATTACAAAGTGTGACACAGAAATACTGTGTTCTGAGAAGGAAAAAATCCTCACCTCCGACCCCCGACATTCAGTTACTGATAAAATAAATGTTCCTTTGCTTTTGCAGCTGTAACGCAGGAGTCTGGTTTCAGATCTGAATGTACCTGGGTTCTCACCCCAGTTCTGTTAGCTACTTTAGTGGATTACTTACTTAGGAAAG